ATATTTTCTTGATACAACAAAACTGACCGTAGCAAACAGTGTAAACAACCAACAAAAGGGGGAAATAAAATAAATAAAAAAAACCCCTCAGATGTTCGATAAAATAGAATTCCGGACCAGAATAAAGAAACGGCAATGTTAATATTGTCAAGGAGCACGGTCAAAGGGCTTAGTGTCGTTATAACAAATATCCCAAACAGCTTCCATTGCATCCTTTGCTGCTGCTTCCGAACAATATGGATTTGCTGTCACTGATTTCATCACTCTTCGCCGCACACAATCCTACACACAGACACACACACACATTAAGCAGATAATGTGAAATTCAAAGTTAATATATTATAAATAAAAAAAAAAAGGTCACTTTAAGTATACTAGTAATTAGTATGCTACGAAACTCACTTGCTCATGTCCTGATGTAGGGGATGTAATCGAAAGGGAAATTACGAACACAAGAGCAGATTTCTTTCTCAGAATAACAATACGATTTTCAACGAACTGGATTTAGCCAGCATCGTGACTTTCGCAAACGGGGGCTCGATCGCGAGGACTCAGACATCACTAGGTTCGAATTTTCACCCATCAAAAAAAGGCCTGAGGAGTGTTTTTCTTACCAATTTTCACCCAATCGCACGCCCTTCGACAACAAATTCCGGCGAACTGTTGCAGGCGGAGGGTCGAATAGAGCCTTTGACTGTGATTTCCGTCGGACTATTGAAGGTGAGGGGGACGCACGATGGTGGCCACAAGAGGGGCGTCGCGCCACTGTCGACGGCAGCGACTTCCTTGGCCGCGGGCCGCGTTGGGCCGATGAAGGTTTTGCCACGGCCGGAGAGCGCAATTGGAGGCAGAAAACGACTGGTTTTGACGTCAATGGTTGCTGCGAAGCTCGACGGGGCCAACCCTGGACGGAGGTGCGTTTTGGCGGGTCTGATTTTCGCGTTCACCGGCGCGCTGCTACAGATTTCGCCGGTGACGGCGGCCGAGATGGGTGGCACGGCAGCGAGACCGAGGCGGGATACGAAGGAGCTCAATTTTTTGAATTTAACAGAGGATTGGTCGAGGTGCAGCGACAGATTTCGAGAGTTGGAGAGAATCGCGATTTGGGTGATGGGAGGAGACGCAGACCGAGAAATCAAGAATTTCTTCACACTTTTGGGCTTGCGCGGGGTCGGCCCATTTCCTTTTATTTGGTTCAGGGTGGGCATAGATTTACTCCAACTTTTTGGACCTGTGGTTTAGCTACGAAATTTGGGTTAGTACAGAATGATTTTGGAAGCGAATTTGGTCAAGAGGTGGGCCCGTTTTGTGCTGAAATTCCTGCCTTCGACGAGGATCACGTTGACGGGCCAATGTACGACAGTCCTCCCATTTTTGATGAGGCGCCTCCGATGCCGAGACAATATTTGTGCAGTAATATGAGTCCCGCGTGGGACGTCGTAACGGTTGAATCTTTGAATGGGAAGCAGTCATCCACACCCGATTTTTTGAGTATTTTGACCAAAGATATTTTTTCAGAGCCGACGCCGATACTCAATGACTGGTGGACCATTTTTCGATTGTCTATCGCGAACTCTACCAACAACGGGATGCTTGGCCGTTGTTTTGGACTTAAGCGCAAAAATCGATGTGGTATATTTTGTGTTAATTCGGCTTTGCGACATGTGACGTGTACATGTGCCTTCGTGTCAGTTACGTCCTTGACCGAGTTTATGCTTACGTTCGTGGTTGTTGGAAGACGTTCAACATTCGTGTTCGATCGAGGGAAATGTCGGTGGTATTCTTGGGGACGACTCCAACATGAACGAGTCGGATTCGAGGCCGAATCCTGCTCAACCGAGGGAGAATGATGAAGAATATATATATGTTTATTATTATTATTATTATTATTATTATTATTATTATTATTATTATTATTATTATTATTATTATTATTATTCCTTAATTATCTTGATTAGTTGGTTAGGAAGATATTTTATTTACTTGTTTGACAAGTTATGGACTCCTAGATATTGAACTCTATTTATTAGCAGTCTGGCCAGAATGTACGGGAGTTGAATATGAAATAAGAATTGATATTGTGAGTTTTTACGTGTTTTTACGAGAGAGTATCTCGTTTACTCGTTTTATCCTTTCCATTCGTTCACGCTTCCCCTACATCATGTCCTCTCAGCTTCATAAAGCCACGAAGTAATTCCCTTTTGTAATGGCAATCTCCACTGAGATGGCCGACCCGTATCTGCCCCCGTAGGCCAAGAGAATTATAATTGCATATCAGATTTCCATGTGGATATGAAATTGGAAATAACTTAGCAAACGAAAAAAAAAAGAAGAAGTATTAAGCAAGATTTGAATAATGAAAGAGTACAACCTCACTGCAAGCATGGTGAGCACAGTCAGACCAGTCCAAATTTGCAGAACGACATTCATCATACGCATGAATGAGCTCGTGAATCACCACTTGTGTTACCTCATCTTGGATCTGTAGGTGATTACTACATACCACTATCTATGATAAAAAACAATATATAAGGTGAGGAATCGCATATTTCCGATTTACACATAAAATGAAAAAAAAAAAAAAAATGTAAAATGCTGCCAATATTGTGACTCCTAGCTTCTACTTCAGAACACAGAAATTACTTTGGGAATCAACATACCCTTTTTTCGATTGGCGATTTAGGATTTCAAGATTTGAACTTGCAAACTAAATACGTAGTGTGTTGTAACTCAACTTACCCCTTCGCCTTTAACATAACCACCAGCAGTAGCTCCTTTACAATTGACAGCCTTTATGAAATTGCTGCCAATACCACATCCTGATTTCTCCAGGTGCTCCTTGAGAAATTTTACCATGGGAGCTGCATAAAAATACATCTTAGATGAAGGAACATACTGTAACCTAGAGTCAAAAATAACTGTAACAATAACTAAATAGTACTTCGGAGACTTCTCTGGATCATATTCTGGCATTCCTCGACCGTCATGCCAGGGCTCGGCTTCGAATCAGGCTCATCCGCCATGGGTGTCCGGTATTAATCTGCTTATTATTATTGAAGTTGAGATTTTATGTCAACTAAATTTGCTAGTTGATAAAAATGTCT